ATGACGAGAGAAACACAAACGATGTGAAGTACACGTAAGCAATATTGGTGCCGCATTCCGGTTCTGTTTTCAGGGTTTTCGGATCGCAGTAACGACGAGCCGTGCAACCCATTGTTATTTCTTGCCATGATTCCCCGGTTGCGCACCTGTAACAGTATATTTCAGTTAAACATAAGTCAAAACAATCTATGGACTTATTAAGCGACTGACAATCGAGTCGTGTGCCAATTTTTCACCATGTACCACCACTGCAATACTTCTAAACTTCTAATTCAATGTCCGTTACACTCTGCAGAGGAGCAATGAAAGAGGTGAATAAGTTCCCGTACCTCGGGATCATGTTTACTGATGATGGATAAAAGAAAAAAACACTGACCGGCGAATCAGGATTGCCAGATGCATTCTCACATGAACTATCCCGAACGTTGTAACAGAGACACAACTTAACCTAAAGACGAAGTTGTCTGTCTTGAAGTCAAATTTCATTCCCATGTTCGTATATGGCCATGAGTCATGACTGAAAAATCTCAAATACACGCGGCTGAAATGGGCTTTCTGAGACGGATCGTTGAGATGCACTTCGACATGGCCTGGAGACAAGAAAAAAGAAGGGGGAGGGGTTGTTGAACAACCGCAGCTTCTCCAGACTATGAAGCCACAGCGGCAATGGTTTGGGCATATGTTGCGAATGTCTCTAGAAAGGATATCAAAAAAAACTATTACTTGCCTGACCGATCGATTGAAAACCCCGCGAAGAGCCAAGAATGTCCTACTGTAAGTGCCTCAAGTGATTGGATAACTCTAACATCTGCTGCTGTTATGAGTTTAGTTGTGAAGCGGGGCAGTCAGTTCTCCAGCAGTTCCTTCACTTAAATTCTGCCCTCTGTTTTAACTGAAGAAGGTCGCTTCAGAAGCTGACTCAGGGTAGACTTTGACATGCCGATTTTTCTGTTCTCAATGACTAGAACCGCACAAATTCCATTTTATTTCCTACTGAACTAATTCCGTGACTATTATCGTCACAGCAGATCTGCAGGTACGTCGTACCGTGTGAAACATTCTTTGATCTCGGTACAAAAATCAATCGACTTCCTCCAGAAAGCGTCATAACGTCGCGGAAGCTGGTCTTTTACGAAACTCGAATTATTGACAGAGACACAGTGGTCGAGCTGGCTGGCATAACGACCTTGAAGATAGACTGCTTTGAAACTTTTCCTGCCTTACGTTTACCTCATCCAACGTCCGCTCGATTCGGAACAAGTTAAACGAGATTGAGGCTACCTTGCACATCAGGTAAATCAAAAATTCCACATTCTCTTTATCGAACGGTGTCGGTCTTCAGATAAATTTGATAACCAGCTGATATTGATTGCTGGCCTTGCCGTCATTTCGAGTTAATCATCGCTTGACAATACTACCTCGCAGTGGCGGTGTGTTCACGTATAAATGGCAGGATGCTGGTGCGCCAATCCAGCAGTGAAAGTACATCTTCCAATCTGACAGCATTTATTGCCTTGTTGTTCACTGCTGTCGGAGATTAACGCTTTCGCACCAGCATCTGATGGTCGGAAACGTTTATCGTTTATCCCTTGACCGACTGTACCCCCCTCCCCCCAATGAATTGGAAGAGTTCTAGACCCCTCTTTGATCTTTATTTGTCCGCTGCACAGAAAATCTAGTCGTTCCAGCTAGCGATTTCAACCGTAACGGTCTGAAATTTTTCAAACTGTTTCTTAAGCTCGGTTCGGTTACACTAGGCCAAGTGTTTGTCAGCTACGCAGAAGCTTACTCCATTTGCTGAACCGCTCCATTTTGGCTGTAGGATTACAGCGTTATATGAATTTTGCTCTGCTTTCGGACCATCGATCAGCAGAAGTCAATGCACGGCCTTCGCAGCCCCAACTAACCGTGCTCCACAGACATCGAGGAGCTAAGGTACAAAAGCTGCGACGACTTCGTTTCTTAGGTTGGTAAAGTTTTCGAATGTGACACGCAGCCAGAAGCACTAGATATTGCAGGTAGCAGAATCAGCAGCGTCTGAAAAGACAGTTGTGACTGTTTATGCCCAGTGAAAAACTCTCAGGTAAGAGAATATAGCATTACCCTTGAAACACAGCAGTGACTCCGCCGAAAAAGTAAAGTCCTATAGATCCGAAGACATACTGGCACACACTGTCCATTTATTTTAAAGTAGAGATACGGCAACAGCAAATTTTACATGAAACACAACTTTGCGGGAAAAACATGAAAAATCTGTGGTATAAGAGCAAGTCGTCATGCAATACAGCACATTCAGGATATATCTTGAAGAATGTCTGACACTTTCTCGTCTTTTATCTACCTCAGGTGGTTTCATCGTTCAAACCATTCACTGCACGACAGCTTTGCCCGCGGTTAGTAACGAAGTGCTTCCACCATATCATCCTACCTCAGTGTATATCTTCTCGAAGTGAACTGTTCAAAAGATCTATTGTGCCAGCTTCATCGCATGCCTTTAGAAACAAAAAG